AATTTGCCATTTATATTATTTAGTAAAAGTTTTGAATACAAATAATTTCTTTGTATCGAGTCAAAACATTTTTCAAAATCAATAAAACAACAATAGAGTTTTCGTTTTTTTGATTTCAATAATTCAATTAATGAATAAAGTGAAAATAAAATAAAACCAAGTACGAACAATCCAAACCATAAGACAGAAAATATATGATCAGATGCTGAGTATCCAGCATAAGACAGAAAATATATGATCAGATGCTGAGTATCCAGCTCTAAAACCAGCTTGGTTTTCATTTAAGATCGATAGTTCGTCAAGATATTGATATAAACGGGAGTTGAGTATAGAGGTGAATAATTTTCTAATGGTTGATAGTAACGTTATTGGCCTTTAGTTCTCTGGATCCGATTTACTTCCATTGTTTTTGAAGATTGGGACAATACTTCCTCGAAGCCATATATCTGGCAGCATACCAGTATCAAATATCAAATTAAATAAATATTCATAAATTTCAATCATATGGTCTATAGCAGACGAGATGTATTCATTAATTATTAAATCTTTACCTGGTGATTTGGTATTTTTAACATTTTTAATACTTTTATATATTTCTCTTCGGCTAATCGGTTTATTTAAAATATCGTTATCTGTATCATTCACAGAAGAATTTACTTTTAGTTCGGTTTCTGATTCTTTTTGTTTACTTGCGTTTATATTTTCAAAATATTGGAACAATAAATCAAGACGTATATCAGTGTTGGTCTCCCTATTTTGTCTGTTTATTATTTTCCAAAATGGCTTAGGATCTTTGGATCGAAGCGTTCTCATTTCATCTTGTATTTTCACGTTGTAAATATTTATACCATTTTTAATTGCTCTTTTATAAACAAATTCATTTTGTTTCAATTTTGATTTAAATAACTCTGTGCCATACAATTTATATAATCTTAAAGCTCTCCTATAATTTCGTCGTTTGTTCCTACAGTTCTGTGTAAACCACTTGTTATCTTCACTTTTTTCATTTTTATACGCCCACATTGAAATGTGGTCGTATATTGTCGTCGCCTCCGTCCGTCCCTCGGTCCGGCGTCCACAGTTGCTTGTGGACGCTCTAGAGGCTAAAGTTAATATCTGATTGACTTTAAATTTATACACAGTGTTTAAGGTCTTGAGACGAAGAAGCCTATTGATTTTCAGCGATTTCCGATAATTACTGCCAGAGTTGTGGCTCTTGATCACTTCAAAAAATCTTTTGGATGCTCTAAAGGCCAAAGTTAATATCCGATTGACTTTAAATTTATACACAATGTTTAAGGTCATGACACGAAGAAACCTATTGATTTTCAACGATTTCCGATAATTACTGCCAGAGTTATGGCCCCTTGATCACCTCTAGAGGCTAAAGTTAACATCCGATTGACATTAAATTGATACACAGTGTTTAAGGTCATAAGATGATGAAGCCTATTGGTTTTCAGCGATTTCTGATAATTACTGCCAGAGTTATGGCCCTTGTTTTATATTATGGGATTATAATTTACCACACCGAAAGTTGCTTTGGCGCTTTGAACAAACAATGATGACATATTATTTACAATTTCCTTTATTCGAAAGTGACTAGTGTCTTCCCAGTTTTCACGCTCCTGACTTAGATTAAATGCAATTTTGTCAAGTTTTACAGTGTCTAGATTTGTTACAAATTCAGTACTCTTCTCGGGTATCCATCTCCGAATACGTTCTGTTTGTCCATTTGTTTTATTCAGGATTGTGTTTCGATAATGTTGGATAGTATTAGATGTATGCACACCGAAAAGTATTGGCGAATGGAGGTCGGAGAAGAGTTTACAGTGGTCTAATATTTCAAAATAATCTATGACCTCAATTACATCAGTAGAGCATATCACATAATCAACTACACTAAGATTTCTACTTGTACGTTTATCTACTTGATCTTTATGAAATCTTCCATTTAAAATGAAAATATTATTGTTTTTACAAAATTTAATGAGTCTTCTGCCGAACGTATTTACAAAATTGTCAGGGCTATTCCTTCGAATGGTAATTCCTAAGTTAATTAGTTCGTTGGTTGCTTCTCTGTATTCGGCGAATTGTTCACCTATTTCGTCTAGAGAATTTGAGTCATGTATAAATCTAACAAGTTTGCAGTCCTACTATTGAAATCACCAACCAGTGTCACATATGGGCTATTTCTCGTAATGGATTGGAATTCAGTTTAAATTTCAATGAATGCATGTTCACTTGTGTATGAGGAGTTATCGGGGGGTATGTATACGATTCCGAAAATAATATTTTGTGCTAATCTTATAATACCACGGTCAATATAAAACCAAAGAACAAATTGGCTGTCTGTAGTAATAGGGTGTATGAATTTTGACAAACTTTTCCTATAACCTAAAGCAATTCCACCTGATCTATTACAAGATAATTTCTTTCTATTCTTAGAAATAAAACTAAAATCATTCGCTATAATTCCATCTATGTCATCTAATTTTGTTTCTGTAAAACAAAGCAAATCTTGTTCTTTGATAAACTCTGGAAAATCAGGAATCAATAGTTTTCTTTTTAGCCCACATACGTTTAACACGGGCATACGAATTTTATAAGTTACGCCTTGGCCGTTTTCATTCACTCTGAATGGAGCGCCATCATCGACAGTCTCACTGATTAGTTCTTTTTGTTGTCGTACAAGTCACGTGATCCTCCATGACATTCCTATTTGTCATATCTATTCTGGGGCCCTATTCGGGTTACCCGTTGATTTAGCCCGTTTCTCTGTTTGGGACGCGCACCTTGTAAATCGTATCTAGTTTGAGAATCTACCATTTCGTTGTCTCCTTGTCTCTCATTTGGTGGTTTAAATTCTCGCCCATCAATATATAGTTTATCTCTCTTTAGCGACACTTTCTGTTTCTGAATTTAAGCTTCTTTAAAATATGGCCATAAAAATTTTCGTCTTTCGTTTATTTCTTCTGGAAACTGCTCTCTTATACCATAACTACCCCCTTTTAGTAAGCTGCCACAATTCCTAACAATTTCTCACCCTTAAAGTAGCAAAGTCTCTAACTCAATATCATCCAAAGTCTTAAACGTTGAAAACACGAATTATTTGCCAATTAAAATCAACATTGACGTTTGTATCTTATCAGGAAAAGGTAGGCTTCTGATATCCAATATTTAAAACAAAATATACATTTAACCATTAGTACACGAATCGTGTACGATAATGCGTTTCGTCGTCATTTGTAGCAAGTGACCAGAAAGAGCGAGGATAGACATATTCCACTGTCATACGGCGACGCCATAACTTATCTGGAGAGAATGCGCAATTGACTGGAATAACCAGACGCTAGAAATTTATATTCGGTCGAGACTCATGCGGTATTTCGCTGGACCTAACTGATTTGAAATTAGAATAAAAACGGAAACAATTGAATGTAAATCAGTTCATATACAGTCAGATTACATTATTATATGCGTTGCCACCCATTTGCGTCAATTTCTAGGTCCTAAATATTAGCGATTTAGCTCCTTTTTGAATCTGCACACAATATTTCTTGAGCAATATGCTGGTCCTCCATCAACATTTACTCCAAATCGATGAGCTCTATGGAAGTCGGGGGGGGGGGGGCATTAAGTTTCAACTTTTTTTTCATGAATTCAATGAGCAATGATTCTGTATCCTCATCATCAGATTCATTGACCTAGTTTGTAGATCCAAGTGACCTTCAAACAACTCACTATAGTTTTGTTTCATTGTTGTCATACCCTGATTGAGTTCGTTTTGGAGGTTAGAAGTGGCTGATTTCATTTCAGCCTGTTCTGTTTTAACTTCATTTAAACCACCCTCAATGTTATTCATACGATTTGACAGTTAATCCACATTTTCTATGAAACCGTTAATTTTTGTCTCAAAAGTATCAAGTTTTGCACTGATTTGATCTACAACATAAAGTTTCTGAAACATCTGATCAACATTTTGAACTAGTCTATCGATTTTACTACTTATATCTTGGCTCTGATTCATTGTTGAATGCATAACGGGATTCATATGGTGTTGGAAGGGACTACTTACATAATATTCACCCATGGGTATATTTGGGGTTATTTAGTTCTGTTGTTGTATAATATGTTGGATTTCTGGGCGCTGTAGCATTGGGGTGCATTGTTGGTCGTGTGATGGTGATACACAGAAAATGCTCATAGTATTGTTATGTTCGTTCATATCCTGTGTTGTTGTCGTTTTTTACTCTCAATACTCTCATTTAACTTTCTACATGGCTTTCCGTGACTGGTGTTACTCTTGCTTTGTCCTTTTGATTTCTTCCGTTTGTGGCCACTCTTTGTGTTTTCTTTGGTATTCATATGATCTGTACTCTTCCTTTTAGAGTTGGGTTAACTAATTTCTGCTATAAGAGTCTTTTATCCATAGGATTACACTATTTTTAAATCAAGTTTCACAGAGAAATATTTTGCGTCCATACTTGTTCACACAGCCTCGTGATGAGTTTGCATATTTTGATTGAAGGATGATTAATGTAAACATTGTCTACAAGATTGCTATCTATTTGATAGCGATGGGTGTTTTCTTGTTTTAGACGTGATTTTCATGCCCGTGTATCTGTAATCACTTGTCACTTCAGTCAGTTATATAGAAGGATAACCCGTGCTTTCCTTTAGCGTTCGTCACTACCGTTTGTTGAAACTTTCATTACGTGTAGCAATGATCTCTGTGTTCAAATTACATTTAGAACGGGTTTAACCAGTTCTATCGCATATGTTATAATGACTGACACCAATATTGTCCATTACGAGTTCAGCTAAGAAGTAATTTTCCCTGTCCAATACATGAACAACACCCAACAACCAATAAGGAGCGGACGTTGAGTCCGACCCATGTCACAATGACAACTTTTTGCGTTTGAGTTCTCCTTAAAGTATCGCAAGTATTGTACTTGTAGGGAATGAAAGGAAATTGAATATCTATTTCTTTGCAGATAAAATATTTGTGGGTGTTGACTGGGGTACAGATAAAGTATTTCAACAACAGAGGCAAATACTATCAAATCTTGGAATTAATCTACATATTCTCCCTCAAGTTTTAAAGGATGTGGTAAATATATTTTCTTATATTTGGCTTGTCGGTATCTCGTTGTTTAATCTTCGGTAATGCAGTTCTGTATGCCCGGATATGAACGTGGTAAATGCACTGTAGAAATCGAGCGGATGAACCCTATCGATATTAAGCGGTCTAGAACGTTTCTTTCCGGAGTCATCAAATTTGCTCTTAACATCAAAGCTGCTGTGTGGGTGTTTTAAATTATTTAATTTAATGGCGATCGTGTAACAATCCGTTCGTAATCACAGCCAGCCGATGGTAAAGCTAGTTGATTAATGTCAAATTAATAATTTACATAATATTTGAGGCCAAAAGAAAGATCTGCAATAGGCATATTTAGTGTTTACATAAAGCATCTTTAAAATCACAGGTTAGGATAAGAAAGGAACCACTATAATGCATTAGTTAAAAACAGCTGACGACAATATAACTTTACTGTTACTGATATACGTTTTGCAGGAAACAATACAAATACCATAATGACACAAAATACCATAAATCCTCTATCGTATACGTACTTTATCTACCGTATACCTGCGTTTATCCAAGTGCCTCATTGGGTTATGATTGCTAAAATAATGACTCAGATCTCAAATCTAGGACTTTGCGTTATTGACTTAAAGACGGACTGGGATATGAGATTTCTCCATAGACTCGGAAACCAAATCGTCTATGTATCAGGAACACAGGGTTCTCCTTAAATACTTTTTATATCAATGCAGGATATAAAGTCTACATAAAAATCAAAAATAAAATGTCTTCCATTCTCTCACCCCATATCTTTTTATATCAATGCAGGATATAAAGTCTACATAAAAATCAAAAATAAAATGTCTTCCAATCTCTCACCCCATATCTGCTTACTCTAGCAGAGAAGTTACTGCAGGACGACGTAACATCATGTATCTCCTATGAATTGAATTAGCTCTAAAGATTTGTAAACTATTCCTGGTCTTTTGATATTCGATGATATCTATGTCGCAGGGTTAATGCAGGCCATTTAAGTTCATATATTATATTGAGTAAACTGAATAACGAATCTTACATGTCTTTGGCGTGTTTTTCATAACGACCCCGTAACTATGGCGCCCAACGTTTTAATGGTGAAATCGTATGAAGTATGGTAAATGATCATCTCAACAAGCTAGCAATATTCACATTTCGTGTGTTAAAGTGGTGGTTCCTGATCTACTGTTCCTGAATTAAACCAACGTTCTTCTCAGAAAGTGCTTCTTTCGATATAAGTTCTATTGTTCGCGTTTACAGGTCGTTTAAACCAAGAGCTCTATATAAATTTGTGCACAACGCGGTTCCCATTACTAACATCAATGCAGCGTCAGCGGATTCTTTCTAATCGGTGAAAAAGACATTAACTATTTAAAATTTGTGCTAATTATTATTTTTTTTCTTTTGTGAATCATTATACTAACTATAATTTATTCCTATCTATACCCTGAATATGTATAACTTATGTAAGTACCTGTTTGCTATTTAAGTTACTCTAAACATTCATAGTGTTATGGGGAATACAGTCCCAACCCACCCAAAACCCTCCCTATGCACAATCTCTGCAATGATTGGATTTAGCTGTATAAAGCTGAATCTAGTTCTGTTTGATAGCATTTGACCAAACCAAACATGTGTATTTTTCCCGACCCGACCATCCCTTTAAATTTGTGTCTTAAAATTTTTCTCTCTTTATCCGTAGTTAATTACATATAATATTTTGTTTTGTTTTTGACACCATTAATTTGTTTTTGCAGTTACATCTGAATAAGATTTAATTAGCCGATTGGTTAATTACGATCAATGACGTAGGGTTACATTATTGGAGATTATGTCGAAAAATGTCAATTAACGCCTTCAATCATGAAATCGATTAACCTGATCAGATTATGACATTGGCACTGGTCTGACACTGCTAACGGCCACGTGGAAGGCATTAGTTACTGCCCTTTCCCTGAGTTATGATGCAATATAGGTATCTGTATAATCTCTTCGATCATCTTTTGTCTAGAAAGGGTTTATAAGCAGAAATGAAAAGTAGATAGGACAGAGACTAGGCGAGGGCGTCTAGAAGTTAACTTAGGACCAGGCAGTTCTCGAGTTAAGACCGGACAGCGGCCATGCAAGTTAGTTAGGAGTTGGCACCCAAGGGTGTCAAGCCGAGCTAGGACCATGACTCACTAAACACAAGCTTATTACGGAGTTTTAAAGCGGAAAGCTATAGTAAAAGTTTAATTTTATCATTTACTTAGTTCATTGTGTAGCCGATTTCAGAATTATTATTTTTTAAAAAAAAAAAAAAAAGTTTTAGTAACTAGAACGTTAAAAAGCACCTTCGGATTTCCGCGATTACGGAAACAACCGACAATTAATGAGCTGAAGCTAAATCACGTGACATGACGTAAGAGGCGACTCTCGTGTAGCAGTCGATGTATATTTCAATATGTCATCGGCAGAAAGTGACAGCTTGTCAGACATTGATTTCACCATGAAAGTTCTTCCAAATCACTCCGAGCCAATTAGAAAGGCGAGCAACAACGGTGACGATAATGGTTCGGACCGTTCTACGATTTTTAGCCACGAAGAATGATAAATAGGCACTCAAAATAGCGTAGGCCTACCTTGTCTTATCACCACGTCCACAGTCCTTGAGTTGGATTCTCGATAACTTTTCGCTTCATTTATTGATATTCCCGCTTCGTCGGTGGAAATATATCAGAGAAAAACTAATAATTCCAATAAGTTTACCCTAGCCATAGGGTAATACGGTATTATACGCCCTAGATTACTTTCTTTGTGCAACAATTGAAAAACGAGGATCACATACATAACATAGGACTATCGGCATCAGACCGGAGTATCGCTGAAAAAATATTCCATCACACTCATTTACCTATTTAAATCTTACGGACTTCCTACATCTAGGACTATCTATGATCGACTGCAAAATCGTCGACATAGACAAACACCTACTACTGACGCGGAAGACGCGTCGAAGTGGGGATATTAATTTACATTTAGTTTAGTATTTAGCTTCCCTACCTAGCTGTGTTGTTTACATTTCGTTGCTATGGTTACATATCAGTCATTTCTGTTGCTAGATTTTGAAGGCGTGTCGGTTTACCCATAGAAATGAAATGAAATGGGGTTTAACGTCCTACTGTTCTGCTCCTAACCTGGGGCATACGCCATACAGTGTGCTAGGAGGGAAATTTTGCCCGGGCAGCGGCGCTACGGCCTACTCTTATATCGAATTCCATCTGTCAATGGATCTTTTACGTGCACACCAATGTGTACACGGGACCTCGGTTTATCGTCCCATCCGAACGACTAGACAGTTTACCCATAGAACTATGCACAGTTTAACATTGAAAGATAACATAACTGCTATATCTTGATCGACATAATATTATTAAAATTTCACTGGTCATGTTCGTAAGCAGATAAATCAAAATGCTCTGAACAACTAGAAGCGTGTTTTGACATCGCCTTGTTGACATCACTGTGTCCAGACCATTCTGCGTGTTGCCTCGCTTGGAAATTCAAAAAAAAAAATGACACGTGCTTCCTGATTTATTGCTTGTGCTATTAATACAACCCCAAACAATGCAATTGGCCATGTTTATGCTTCCAGTAAAACAAAATGACGGGATGCGGTGCTCAGTTGCAATAGCCTTCTATAGGGAAATTCACAACGTCTGTCGTATTTGCCGTCACTCACGGAAAGAATCAAAACGAGGCTATGTTTTTTTTGGTATATTTTTCCTTTGTAAAAATATTTAGAATGACTTTTAAAATTTCGCAGGGCTGAAAATATTCTAATATTAACTTAGTTTTCATATTAAAGCAACTTTTTGTGATAATATTCTCCTTTAAGTTTTGTACATATGTTTAAAGAAGAATAAAAGTATTATATGAAGATATACAACTGGCGGTAGATTTTTCTTTGTCCATAGCAGTTATATTTCATACCAACCGCTAATGACGTCATCTCATACCAACCGCTGATGACGTAGATGATCTAAATAATACAAAGAACGATTAAAAATTGTTATGGTACAGTTTGTAGCATTCAGGACCGAAATAGACGGCGTACTTATCGGCATATTTAAATCGGTTATCCATACTCCATGTCTAAGATATCTTTCATAATTTTCTTTCCGTCCACATTTCGATTAGTTCTCCACACATTCCAAGAGTTCCTTTGTAAAGTATTTTTGGGTACAGTCGGTCAAATCCTTTTCTGAGCATACCGAAAACCTTCAATCACGGTTCACTGTCAGAATTATCGGAAAAGATTGCCTTTTGATCCAAATTTTCTTCAGGCTTTGGATAGATCCTCATCGATATTTGCATTCACATCTATTCCATCGTCAATATGTTGGCTAAAAAGGATTGATTAATTGATTATACGTCTGACTTCGTATTACTATCCATTTTGTTATTGCTTTCAATTCAATTACCCCAAAATGGCGACGTATAAACAAAAACATGCACGTACATTCGCTGGATTACTTCGGTATTTTCGTTATTTTTCCGAAACTATCGAGCAATTATCCAATCATTGTTGCCTTTTAATAGAAGAGCCCATTAAATTTAAGGGCGAAATGGCGTTGTATATGTCGGATATAAACCTACTCTCCTTCGGATTGATATGATAGAGAACACTTAGGCTTCGCCCGCGTGTTCTCTTATCATATCAACCTCGGGTAGGTTAATATCCTATACTTAAACTAGTGTTGTCGTCAAGAACCTATCTTAAAGACCCAATACTGTAACAGTAAGAATTAACCAAATATGAATTTGTCAACAAGATTGACTAATATCTGTTATTCTCAAAATTTGGAAAACAAATTAATTGCCTATTAAAAAAACAAGTAGCTTTTTTTCGGGCGGAATTACCCCCATAATTCTAACTCCTGACCTTGTAATGCGTATGTTAATATGCCTACTTTTATGGATGTAAATTCTTATTTACATATGTTAAA